GGGGGGGGGGGGGGGGGGGGGGAGCCGGGGGGGGGAGCTGTACAGAAGTTCATGCATAATATAGATAGAGGTCCGGCTATACAGGAGGGTGAGCACTAGGTGGCAGCCTTTTCCCACTTTGTAAGCAGCTCTGAAAGGAGCAGGACATGCATAAGGCAAACACTACGCTAGGAGTCGGTCGTATTGCTTTTCATAGAGTGTGCATTGATCCTAGATTAGCATCGTTTGGGGTTTAAATGTGCATACTTTCTTATTTTAAACTAATGAAGGGACAGAACTGCAGCTGGAACAAGATAAACACTTTCTCTCCACCTCACCGCGTCCTTGAGCATACCTGCGTCTTGTCTCCTCTCTTCCCTCCCCCTGGCTCTTTTCCTTCCTTCCTTCCTCTCTCCTCCTCCTCCTCTCCACAGGACAGCTGGATAGACTGGCATTTCTCTAACAGCAGGGGGGAGAGGGGGAATCTGCACCCAGCCTCGGCCCACGCTGGGCAGAGAGAAGGGTGGGTGTGGTGTCGCAGACAGAGGCGTGAGTGTCAGTGTGTGTGTGTGTGTGTGAGACTAATGCATCGTCTGACCCGACCCTGGAACCGCCAGCGCTCGTCTGCAGCCTTCACAGCAGTGACTCGGACTAAATGCTCCAGAGTACAAGTCGCTTCGTTCATGAATCAGGGTGAAAACATCTCACTGTACCTCTCACTCATCAAGGGCCCCAAATGATTTAGTTTAGACCAAAACCAAACTGGGCTGCTAATTGGAGAAAATGAGACAGAATGTCAACCTTCTGCAAGAGAGGTCTCCGAAAAACATAAATGACAGGAGTTGGACGCAAACACTAATGGTGTGTTCACACCAAACAAAAGTGTTCAAAAGCTGACTGATTTGTAGGAAACCTGACCAAACTGGCAACACTGGATACGGACAACAAAGAGAAATCTTGTCCGCTTAAAAAAACTTGGTCTGTTTGAATTGAACGCTGAGCAGACAGCCTCCCAAAGCAGGAAGTGGATGACAGCACAGGGCATTCTGGGTAAATTTTGGGTAAAAACAACCTAAATGTCTAGGACTGGAGGAAGAAATGAACTTGTGGTCTTTGACTAAAAACAAAAGAAAAATCCTACAACCGCTAAAATCAGACACCACTCTATTTCTCTACATTTCGAGAAGATTGAAATTGTCATGTCTTCTTTGGACATTTTCGTGTTGTTTCTTTCTGTGGTTCTTGAAGTAGCGCCACCACAGGAGAGGAGGGGAACAGGTTTTTCAAAGAGTTTGGAATGTTTGACAAAGTGCAGCTTAAAAGGGAACAGCAACAGCTGAAAATCTAACAAATATTTCTGTTGAGTCTGTTGAATATTGAGTCTACCGGACTATCAGGTGGGAAAACATCCTAAACATCCAGCTCTGAAGGTTCCAGTCAGGCGGTCGGTCCCAACACTCTTTAGTAATGTAACCGAATATTAAGAGGAGGGAGAAGAACAGATGAGTTACAGCAGCAGGTGAGTGGAGGATGAGCGCCCACTGTGCTGAAGGGAGGCGTCTGTTTAGACTCTGGGTGAGAGAGCAGCAGGTTGACTCTTCCTTCTTTTTAAAGCAGCAAAGAAATGGAGGATAAGAAAAGCATAAGGAGGGGGAAAAAAGGACACAGACAGAGACGGGGAAGATGGTGGGGATTGTGTAGGTCAGATGTGCTGGTGCAGCGCCGGTAGAGGGGAGGAGGAGAGGGCCGGTCGTGGTTCGATTCCTCGGCTCTTCATGAACGACAGCAGCTGGTCGGGGATCTCAGCCAGGACATCTTTGGCCAGCCGGGCCATGCTGAGCACCTGGTTACCGGACCTGTCGATGTAGTCTCTGAACGGAACGAACTAAAAGCAGGAAAGAAAACAAAATCTGTGGCAAATATCACTCCATGGACATCTACAACCATGGATTTCATGGTATTTCATCAGAATTTTAATGACAGATTGACACAGAACAGAGCTGTTTGGCTGAGCTGCAGAGGAGAGGCGGTGTCTCTGATCTGTCCTTGATGTGGGACACAGGAGACCAAACCAGGTTCAGAAGTGTGGACCACAACCACTAAATGGAACTGGTAAAAATCTGTGGTGTGCAATTTTGTTGACAGACTTCACAGTCCATGTTATTGATGATTTTGGTTGTGTTTTATTTTGGATAGTTAAAATATCTTCCAGGTCTTTAGGTAAGCGTTCTTCACAAAATTAACATGTATTGGTCTTTGAGAGGAGCCCTTGCATTATTATACCATTATCAATATATTATTTCAAAATGGTCTCAATACAACCTTATTATTTTTACCGTATTAACCATAATAGATACAGGGACAATTTATCGTGCATCATAATTTGTTATTGCAACAGGCTTAGCAATACATTTTGGTTATCAGCCACAACAGCAGGATTATTATTGGATATTGATATTATTATTGATATCGGCCTATATTTTCACCTTTTTTCATTCCTAATCTAAACCATTCCATTGTATCTCTGGTTGTTTTTGTCTCAGTTCATTTCCCCTCCAGCTTCTCTGTCTCTGCTGATGAAAAACATCCCCACAGCATGATTCACCAAAGGGTTGGCTTTTTCAATTCAATTCAAAAATACTTTATTGATACCAACGGGAAATTAAACCAAAGGTCATGTACTGAGTTATTTTACACCACAAACACAGTTTTACATTTAGATTTTACAATTTACTTTTGGTCTCATTTAGGTTTTAATTTTCCATCATATTTCTTCTAATTGGAAGTAATATTAATGTTTTGGATGGAGTTGCCCAGCCCTAACAAGTCTGAGAGAATATCTATGGAAGAATCTAGCATGGAAAAAACCCGACTCCTGTTTCCAATCAGAAACAAAATTCAAGAAAGAATAAAAATCATTCAAATTTAGATTAAATGCATCATGTTTCACTTTCCACGAAAGTCAGACGCAAGACATTCCTTATTATTTGCAATTACACTCCATTTTGTGTTGGTCTGTCACACAAAATCCTAAAAAAAAAACAAAACAAAAAAAAAAAACATTCAAGTTTGTTATTTTATCAAGGATTGTGATCGTCGTTACAAGCATTTAATCAGCTGCAGACAATAAAAACTGAAGGACGTATGTTTCAGGTAATGTTCTTATATTTTTTTTAGGCAGATGACATTTTAAAAAGAAGCAATTTTCACTCAAGCAGGCGGTTATTTCTGTAGGACTATAAAGAAAGCCTGGAATAATAAACGTGAGGGTTTGAAAAAAGATGCTGATGTCTGACAATAAGCAAAAAGAGATAAGAGATGAGAACGAAAGAACGGAGAGGTGGAGATGAATTTAGACTGATAAAGAAGCACCAAGGAGAGCTTCCAGCAGATAAACCAGATGTATAAATAGCCAGCTGTAAGAAGTGGTCTCTGGGGTTGCATAATCGTCTGAATGTTGAATATTTGTGTGTGGAGAAGGCTGACAAGGCTACGTTTTTAGATTAGATTGCTTCCAACTGGAGGGATCTGAGCCATCGCTGAACATCCAGGATGTCCAGACCAGAAAACAAAGTCAGCAAGAACGAGATGGAGCAGTGAGGTGGGATTTTTTTTTATTTATTTTTGTTCTGGAATGAAAAAAAGATAACCTGTAGTGGGTTTTTTTGAGTGTCCATTAGCATGTTAATGCTTCTGCCTCCAGCCGGTCCTGAAATTATTCAAAAAAAAAAAACAAAAAAAAAAAAACACCCACTGCTGTTTCTATTGTGTCATTATTCAGTTTTAAAATATTAAAGAAAGTAAAAAAAAATAAATAAATATAGGCCAACAAAATTGATAAAGTACTACAGTTTGAAAAAAATGAATAGATTTTTTACTAATGCTGTTTATGTAAGAGAAGATTTTGGGTTTTTACTTTTTATGTGACACATCTTAGAGCTGCATCTAATGATAAAAAAGTCTTCTTTTTTTAAAACAATATTAGAAATACGTTAAAATATGCAAATAACTGAATCCATTTTTTAAAGACAAATGAAAATGTTATTGCCTCAAATGCAGCAACACAGGATTCCTTTAGGATACACTTTATCAACGCTGCATCTGCAGCTGAAACATTCTGTCTGCTTAACTGTTGGTCAATTTTGGATTAATTAGTAAATAGCATAAGGTGCTTAAAATGAGAGTTTTTTTTTTTTTAACAGGAGAAAAGCTAAAAATTCCACTGGAGTTCTAGACAAAACGTAATTACATTTTTTTATCTTATGTCTACATTAATGTCTACGTTTTTTGTACAATTTTGGCTTAATTACTGCTCTGAGTGTGTTGTTCTTTCAGCTAATGGCCATTTTTCATCTGCATTTTTCAGTTAATGAGGAATCGATTAATAAATTGGTTGATAATGATTTCAATAGTTACTTAATCACAATTCATTTGATTAATTGTTTCAGCCCTAATACATTTTGTGTTATTCAAATGAAAAATCTAATCAAATCTGTAAACCTTGCTCTCGATGTACACATCCTAATCTAATACTTGTAGGATAAATGTATAAAGATATGAGTCAGGAGAAGCGCCATTCATCCACACTCATAAAATGAAATTGTGTGCAGTCAGCTGAAACCACAGTATGTCTTATTTTGACACGAGACAGTGTCCAAACAGTGTCAGCCATTAGAATCTGAGCCCCTGTAACATCCCATCTTCCCTACAGGGACCATTTTGGGAATGAATGAATGAATGTGACCTCGCTTTGGAAGCTACGTAAACCTGAAATGGATTCTGGTTTACTTTAAATTCAGAAATATTGCAATCTTTCTCTTCATTTCAACTAAAAATCATACAGCCTAAAGTATGCGACCTGTGTGATATGAGACAGCCTGAACGTGACAGTAAGGAGAAAAATAAAATAATGACACAGAGAGAGAAGGAATGTGTTTTGCTCCGTCTGTGACGCCCTTCCCTCTGAAGGCTTAATTAAGGCAAAAACGGAGGGAGAACTCTGCGAATCTTCAAGTTGATCCCAACAGAAATTCTCTCTTCAGTTGCAGCTTTTCTGAAATAATGACTTCATCTGCATATTTAAAGGTCTCAAAGTGCAACCACAAAAACAAGAGGGTGCTGTGCATATTAAACACAATCCTTTGGTAAGCTAACTGTATCGTCACACTTTGAGCTCACGTTACAGCAAATAAACAATTGTTTACATGAAGCAACTCGCAGACCATTAAGAGAAGCCTGCGGACCACCAGTGGTCCAGAACTGCAGTTTGAGAAACACTGAGCTAAAGCAGGTCAACCTCACACTGTTACTTACTGGACCTGTTCTAGCTATTACTTCAAACTGAGGCTGAATATTTTAAACTGTACTATTTTAATCTCTACTAGAACCTATACATATTTATACGATATATTCACATATATATTATAATATTTTGTAAGCAATAAATCTACACTTTAATCACTCGCCTGCTCTTAGTTTGACAGTGCAGTGTGAAAGGTGTATGGAGGATCAAAACTGATATAAGAAACAAAAGTATAAATATATATTTAGTTTTTCCTTGCCCTTACACACTAATTTCCGTCAAGAAATGTATATATTTTCTTTTTCATTTCCCCTAAACATGCGTTTTTGTCAAGAAAAGTAGATATTTTGTTT